TCAACCTGACTCTGCAATTAACTAAAGTTAAAAAAATGGAGGGCACACCAGTGAGGGATTTTTACTTAATTTGAAGTACAAAGATCCACTTCTAATCTGGATCTTGATGCAGAAAGACACTCGCCTTTAATTTGGATCTTGAGGCAAGAAGACACACCTTTAGTCTGGGCCCTGTCTTCTGCTGGAAGCCTGTATAAGAGCCTGCTCTTGCTTTGCTAGCAAGTCTATTCCTTCCCTGGCATTAGAGCCTTCTTCAGGATTCCACAGTCTACCAAAGACCAGCTTGTAGCCTGAACTGTTAGAAGGCCTTATTAATAAAAACAAACCCAAGGCCAGTTATTGGGGTGAATGCTAGAAGATCGGAGAAGCAGAATAAGCCACAGCCTCACCCCGCCAATTCCTCAGCTGATCCTGTTTCCTCAGACTTGAAGCTTCTGAGTCCTCATCCAGAATGAATCTCAGCTGAACTGCTACTTAAAAGCCTTAAAGCTTAACCAGCTCTAGTTCCTGGCGTTACATACCTTTCTGCCATCACTTCCTGGGATTAAAGGTGTGAGTCACCATGCCTGGCTGTTTCTAGTGTGGCTTTGAACTCAAAGATTGGGATGGATCTCTGCCTCCAGAATGTTAGGATTAAAAGTGTGAGTGCCACCATTTTCTGGCCTCTATATCTATCTAGCAGCTGTTCTCTGACCATAGATGAGTTTATTAAGGTGCACAGTATATTGGGGACACAATATCACCACATTTTCCCTTTTTTGTCTAAAATTAAAAAAAAAAAGCTTATAACTAATACAAGAAAACTATATCCAATAAATATATACAATATATATAGTCAAGAATTATAGGCCAGGGTTGGTGGCGCACACCTTTAATGCCAGCATTTGGGAGGCAGAGGCAGGTGGATCTCTGTGAGTTCAAAGTCAGCCTGGTCTACAAAGCAGTTCCAGGAAAGGTGCAAAGCTACAGAGAGAAACCCTGTCTCGAAAAACCAAAAAAAAGCTACCTTAAAAAAAAAAATTACATTAGCAATGTCTAGTCCATTATCATTTGACAAATTCAGATAACAAAATTTCATCACTTATTCTATTTAAAACAAATAGTTCCTTTTAAAACGTAGATTCAATAATCTTCCTTTTTTTGTTTTTTTTTCCTCAAGACAGGGTTTCTCTGTGTAGCTTTGCGCCTTTCCTGGAACTGCTTTGTAGACCAGGCTGGCCTTGAACTCACGGAGATCCACCTGGCTCTGCCTCCCGAGTGCTGGGATTAAAGGTGTGCACCACCACCGCCTGGCTTCTTCCTTTTTATCTTATGTTCATATTCTCTTTTTTTAGTAGATCCAAAAATCTACCTTTTACCTTATCATTATCCCCAATATATTGTGCACCTTAATAAACTCATCTGGAAACAGCCAGGCATGGTGACTCACACCTTTAATCCCAGGAAGTGATGGCAGAAAGGTATATAAGGCATGAGGATTAGGAAATAGAGCTGGTTAAGCTTTTAGGCTTTTGAGCAGTACAGTTCAGCTGAGATTCATTCTGGATGAGGACTCAGAGGCTTCCAGTCTGAGGAAACAGGATCAGCTGAGGTATTGGCGAGGTGAGGCTGTGGATTATTCTGCTTCTCTGATCTAGCATTCACCCCAACAACTGGCCTTGGGTTTGTTTTTATTAATAAGACTCTTTAAGATTCATGCTGCACCAGCTAAGACATCCAGCCTCATGGACTGAGCAACTTCTTAGACTTTCTGTTCATTGCCAGGTATTGTTGGATTAGCTGGACCGCAAGTCATTCTAATAAATCCTCTTTCTCTATATATTCATTCTATAAATTCTACTACTGTAGAAAATCCTAGTTCACCTGTAACACCTAGATAATAAGTTTCAGTAATCACTGGTTCTCAGGTGTGTATGCTGACCCCTACAGATTCTGTCTCTCTGTAGAGACTGATTCCTGTCCATCTCTGCTGCGGATTGTATCTAGGGACCAGAACATGCTGGGCAAGTGCTCTACCACTGAGTCATATTCCTAGGCCAGTGGTCTTTTAAAATAATAGGATTATTCTCATAAGGTCAATCTTGAGTTGTATGTATATTTTAAGAAAAATTATTGGGGTTTGTTAGTATCAATGGTGACTCCATAGAGTAGGCTGAATTCTTTTTTTTTTTTTTTTGAGACAGTCTTATGGAACTCAAATTAGCTACAAAGCTGCTGTGTAGCTGATGATAAGCAGACACCATAAAGTTCATTAATCTATTAGTCATAAAATATTATCATAGCACTCTTTTGAATATTAGTCAAGTTGCCAACTTTACAATCTGTATTTCTTCTGGGAATAATTTTCTATTTTTATGAAATGCTCATTTATGAAATTCTCCTTTAGATTTTTTCCTATGCTGTTTTCAATTTTTTTTTGTATTGTAACAGAAAGCAAAGGATTGATTACAAAGAATGGAGTGATAATAGTGACATTTCAGGTTTTGAAAAATAAAATCAAACACTAGAATGTCTAAATTAGTATCTAAACAAGAATCTGACGCTTGGTTAAAAAAAGTTATTAGATATCAAATGGATCTAATTAATCCTTTATTTCTTTAAAAAATTTTTTTGTGTGGGTGTGTGTGTGCCTAAGTGTATAGTGTGTATGGTATGTGCTACAGCTCCCTGTAGAGTTCAAAGGACAACCTTAAGCAATCTGTTCTCTCATTCTGTTGTGGGGTAGACACCAGAGAAGACTGCTCAGACATGGCTTTATGGCAACAGGAAGTCATTTATTAGCCAGCTGGTGAATACACTGGGTGTTCAGGATCCCAGCGTAGGCCCAAGCCTTTCTCAGGGGTAGCTTTGAAGCACAAAAACCACGTCCTGGGTTGACATACTTTAGTTAACAAGATGAGTTAGCAGAAGAGGAACTACCGAGGCCAAAAAGCAAGGTTAGGACATTTAGAGACTTTCCTAGAACTATGGACTTTGATGGATGAGACCTTTGTTTTAGTTTTGGCAACTGGTGCTGTCTACAGGCTGAGGTTTACAGCCGGAATGGTACTTCCACCATGGGAGTCAGTTGTGCTAAGGTCTGGGGCCTTGTTACACTTCTACCATGTGAGTGCCAGGGATTGAACTCAAGTTATATCAAGATTGGCAGCAAGTTCCTTTACCGGCTGAGCCCTGTACAGGGCCTCAATTCATTTATTTGTTCCAATGTCTTCATTCTTTGGTAGTACATTGATTGATTTGAAATCAAAGTTAGGGTTGGAAGGTGTACTTCTGTGGTAAGGCAATTGCGTTGCATGTACCAGGCAGGCCCTGGGTTCAAGCCCCCTCCCCGAAAAAAATTATAGTGCCTCAGACGAAAAGATGACTTTTCAACATATTTATAATAGAACTGCAGAGGACTTGTAGCTGCAAAGTGATTACATTTTAGTGTTTTGAATAGATTAAGACCTATTAGCATTCATTGTCTCATTAATATAAGAGCTGTGCTGTCAACGGTTAGGGCTTTTGTTGGTTTCATTTAAATACAGTTCGCCTACTTGACAAATACTTTCTGAGCTCCTATTTGCTGAATGCTTTGCTCCCATCAGAGTCCAGCATACGCCATGATCGCAGCTCTCACTGCTTGAGAATGGGAGCCGGACGAGAAGCAGATTGCCCAATTAAAACACACTCGAAACCAGGATTCGTTCCAATAAAGCCAGGTACTCCCATTTTTAGCTGGCAATTCGGATTGTGAGCAGGGACTGCCCTGAGCAGGCACAGATATCAGAACCAAACTCTAATGCGGAATTTAAGTGACAGGCTGCTAATTACAACCTTGAAATCCTTCCGTCAATTTAACGTAGTCCTAAAACATCAAAGCAGTAACGGTTTTAGTCCCTCACGTAGCCCGGCTTCGAGAAGAAAAAGCAAGCACACGCGCTCAAGGTCTTTTTCTTTGTGATGTGTTTCCAATCAACCCCCGGCTCGCCTATTTACAATCAGATTCACGATTCTGGCGGATCGAGTCATGGTGTGCGGGTTTCCGGGTCGGCGCAGACTTAAGGCTTCCGCGCCAACCTTGAGAAAGCCCCCAGGGGCGGGCGAGGCTTTGGCGTCTGGCAAGTTAGGCACCATCGCATGACGCAATCGCCGGGACGGCCTGAGCCCGTCCCCGGAGCCGCCGGGACGCCGAGTCAAGACGATGCGGCTCCGGAGACAGCCGAAGCCGTGCGGCTCGCCAACTAAAAAGTGCGTTTAGCCCTTTAAGAGTCTGGGAAAGGCGGCGGGCGCTTCCGGGTCTGCGGACGGAGCAGCCGTGGGCCCCGCCGGTCTTTGCCCGCGGCTGGCGTGCTCTGGGTGGGCGTCTCAGAATCGCCCCAGGTCAGCTCACCGCGCTAGGAGCGCCCCGAAAACGAGGCCGGGTCATCACCGGCGGCTACGCAGCGCCGCCGCCACGGCGCCGCCGCCACGTCCTCGCGCGAGATCGGCCCCGCGACTTCCCAGAAAGCCCCGGGGCCAGCGGTCTCCCACCGCGGGGGCCGCGCCGAGCCGCGCCTGGGCGGAAGGGTGGGCGGGGCCCCGCCGCGATCCTTGGCGGCCCTGGCAGGCCACGCCCCAAGCCGGAAGTGACGGAGCCGAGCTAGCGCGTCGAGGCTCCCTCTATGGTTCATCGTCTCCTCCTGGAGTCGGGAAATGGCCGCTGTGTAGTTCGCCGCGGAGAGAAAGCCCCGAAACCCGTGCTTCGGCGCGTCAGGTAAGGCCTCGCGCTGCATTCGGAGTGGCCCAGGAGAGCCGCGGAGAGAGGAGGGGTGGGGGAAATGGATCACTCATTTTTTTTTTTTCTTCCGTGCGTGGCGACGGATCGGCCCGCGAGAAGAATCCGGGAGGACCCTGTGCCGTTATGGATGCGTTTTATCATCAGCATCAGCACCATCAGTTCCTGGGTGTCTTTTTTTTGTTTTATGACTTTATTTTTTTTTTAACGGCGCCACGGGCCGCAGAGGTGGGGTGGGGGGGGGATGGGGAGCTGTGCGAGCCGCGCGGGCCGGGCTCGCGAACCTGGCTCGGGTCCGGAGACCGTGCGGCCTTTTTCCCCCTCGTGCGCGTGCGCAGACTCCCTGGCAACCCTTCCCCCCCCAGCTCGCCCCGCCCCCTCCCCACCTTTCCGCCCGGGACTCCTGCGCGCGCCCGACCCGAGGTTCTGCGCAGGCGTGAATTCCCCCCCACCCCCCTCTTTCTTTTCCTGCTGCCGATGGCAAGGCGGCCGCGTGTGTCGGCTGGGGTGCCCGCTGGTCGTTGGCCGGGGGGAGGGCGTGCGGAGGGGGCAGGGGTGGGTGGGGGAGGTGTCCTTTCTTCCGGGCCCGGCTTCCGGGCCTCGGCTGACATAACGGTGACCCTGCCACCAAGTGAAGCGGGCGCGGATCCACCACTTTTCTGCGTCTGCGATGGAGCCGCCTCTCCTCGCCGCCTCTAGGGTACAAGTCAGTTGAGGCCCGCTTGAAGTTGACGAGATCGAGGCTTGGGCTCGGTCGTGTGTAACCGACCGCCCAGTACCTGGGGGTTGGCGGGAAAGTTTTTTGTCCCCCGACCCCCCCCCCCCACGGTGAATCGTTTTGGTTGCCTAGCAACTCACTCTGGGACCACGGTTCACTTTTGACTGTAGCAGTCGGTGGCCTAGTTAGTGCTTTCGAGAGTGAAATTTGGGTCCCAACGGGTGCGTGTTGGAAGGGCCCGTTCTCCAGTAATAACAAGCGCTGACGTGCCTTTTTGGTAAGAGTTGGCACGCCTTAGAAATTGACTCGGGACATTGGCCGCGGTGATTGGTGGGGTAAACGGGTGAGGAAGAAGTTGAGGTTGTAACTCTGTGGCCCAGTGCTGACCTCGAACTCTCAGCTGATCTGCTGCTTTAGCTTCGGGAGAGGTGGGGTAACAGTTTTGTGTGTCTGCTTCGGGTCCCTGTTGGGTTTTAAGATTTTTTTTTTTTCTTAACCTGAGGAGTTGCCAGAATATTGGATCTATGTATTTCAAACTGGCCCTTATGAGCCCAAGTGGCTTCGAACTATGGGTTCTTTATGTGTTTGGGTTATAGACGTTCAACACAATGCCCAGCATTTTAGGTTTATCAGGTCAAATTCGAGGATCAGGCCTAGGCGGTGGTGGCGCAAGCCATTAATCCCAGCATTTGGGAAGCAGAGGCAGGCGGATCTCTTTGAGTTCGACGCCAGCCTGGTCTACATAGTGAGTTCCAGGACAGCTAGGACCATTACACAGAGAAACCCTTCATCAAAAAACCAAAATTCGGGGATACTATGTAGTTTTTATTATTAGAGTTGAAAAAGACAAATTGAAAGCAAATACACCTAGAACTGATGAAAACCAGTAGTCACTTCGGACTTACACCCTGTTGCCACACATACTTGTTTTATATTAAAAGGGAAACGCTGAACAAAGTTTCTTGTCTTCACTGAATTTGCATTCTAGATAGCTCTAACTGGATTAGTTGGGGGACTGTTAGGCGATGCAGGACCTTTACATAGAAAAGACTTAGCAGTTTGTTTGCATTTTTGTGTCATCCTAACCAAATTCAGGGTATGGTGAAGGAAAGAGTGTCCCTACGCAGTTCATACAAACAGCTGAGATTTCATCTGTGTTGGAGTAACAGGCTTGAGCTACTACCAAACGCAGTTACCTCGTGGGAATCAAACCCAGGCCTCTGTGCATGCCGGAGAGCTCTGTCGACAGTTCTCACTCTCCATCCCTAGAACTGACCTTATCTTTGTAAACAATTTTAGGACTTGACAGCCGGTTTGGTGAAAGTACTGCTCAGTGAGAGGCTTGCATTTAGTTGGATTTATTGAACAGCTTATATGGGGAGCAAACTAAACTCTATTAGATTATCTGTGGTGTAAAAGAAGGATTGGGAATGCAGGACCTGCATTTGAAATCATTTGAACACTATGCACTAGCTGAAATCTGCTGTGTAACTTTCTTGATTTGTTAATAAGAGAATCCAGACCAGTGTATCTATGGGTAGTAATTGTAAGTGGTTGGAGGATATGGTATCTAGCTTCTTAAACATTCTTTGTGGGTTTTTTTTTTTTTTTTTTTTTTTTTTTTTCAAGACGGGGTTTCTCTCTGTAGCTTTGCGCTTTTTCTGGAACTCACTCTGTATCCCAGGCTGGCCTCGAACTCACAGAGATCCACCTGCCTCTGTCTCCCGAGTGCTGGGATTAAAGGCGTGCACCACCACTGCCTGGCTAAACATTCTTAAAAATACTAATGAGTATTACCTGAGTCATAATCATTTAATATTTTTGACTCTTGATTTTTGAAAATCAGTCTGACCATGAACTTCATAAATAATAGTACTAACCTACTTTCATTTAATGTTTTAGCGATTTCTAAAACTTTAATTTTACCTGATCCATTATGTCTTCACTTTCGTAGATCAGTCCCGAATGGTATAAAACTTAAGACCACATGACCCAGGGAGTGTGGCACAACTTGGTTTAGGATGCACTGTGGTTCTTAGTTCATGTTTTTAAAAAAACGGGGTGGTGGTGGTGGTGGTGGTGGTGATAGGTAGCTGGAACAAACTAAAAGTTTGTGACTAACATGTTTCACTTTTAATTATGGAAAGTGTCTGGTATAAAAGTAAAATAATGAATCAGGCATGATGACTTGCACCTTTAATCTCAGCCTTTGGGAGTTCAAAGCTAGCTTGGTCTATATATCGAGTTTCAGGACTGTTAGGGCTACACAGAGAGACCCTGTCTCAAAAAACAAACAAAAAAGTAAGATAAACTCCCATGTTCTGGTTGGTTATGCTTACTAATTTTCAGAATTTTATGTTTTGTTTAATATTTTTTGTCCATTCTGTGAAGCATTTTAAAATTCCAAACATTTTATTAAGTGTTTCTGGAATGAATTTATTAGAATACTTGTTAATGCTGTATTGAAAACATAGGAGTACTTTTAAATAGATGAGTTGTTTGAAGTAAATTTATGGATAGCCTGCAGAAAACCTGTAACAAACAAGGCTAACCGATAATTATAACTAATGCCTGAGCATACACCATGTGCCAGTGAGTTACTTTAGCTTTTTCTATTTATTATTTAGCTATAACCTTGTAAATATCTTTTTATACCTATAGAAATTAAAACCTGAAAGAGATTAACTTATCTAATGTTGAGTTGTCATTTAATGAGTGAGCCTGTATTTGAACCTAATATACATACTTACATACATACATACATACAGTGTATTTTTCAGATTTTAAAAGATGTGAATGGCAGTAATTTGCTTAAACTTGGGCCCTCGTATGCTAAATAGACTTAGCTTAAATATATTTGAAATCAGCTGGTTGCTGGTAGTGCACACCTTTAGTCCCAGCACTCTGGCAGAAGTAGGTGGATTTCTGTGAGTTGAGGTCTACAGAACTAGTTCCAGGACATCCAAGGCTACACAAAGAAACTGTCTCGAAAAACACAAAATCACAAGACAAAGAATCTACTTTGAGCAGCTTTATTTAGATTTTTAAAAAATTTTATTTTGAGACAGGTCTAATTGAATAGCCCTGATTATCCTAGAACTTGCATTGTAGACTGAATTGACCTTGAACTTGCTGAGATGCTTTTGTCTCTGCCTCCTGAGTGCTGGGACAAGGGTTTTACAGATTGTGATATTATGCCTAGATCAATGATCAGTCAGTTGACTTATCTGTCTATATCCAATCAATCCTTATTTATCTCTATCTATTATCTATCTAATCTCAAGATTTCTCTCTCTCTCTCTCTCTCTCTCTCTCTCTTTCTCTCTTTCTCTCTCTCTGTCTACCTACCCCCCCCCCCATCTCTATCTCTCCATCTCTGTATCTGATAGTCCAGGCTGGTCCTCATCCTGTGGTCCATCATGTCTCCCAAAGGCTGTAATTAATCACAAGCCCATGTCACCAAACTTGATGAACATTTCCTTTAATCACTTGTTTTCTAGCCAATCGTATACATTAAAAAAAAGATATTTATGGATTTAATTTAATTAAACCAATTAATTTGTTTTTTCGAGACAGGGTTTCTCTGTGTAGCCCTGACTGTCCTGGAACTCACTCTATAGACCAGGCTGGCCTCGAACTCTGCCTGTCTCTACACCCCAAGTGCTGGGATTAAGTCTGTGCTGCCGCTGCCACCACTGTCACCACCAGCAGGCATGATTTCATGTTTAAAGACAAAACTTGGCTCACTTTCTTCTGAGTTCCTTACTGTGGTGAACTAAAGATTCATGAGGCCACTTGTTCTCAATTGGAGTCTTTTAACAGGCAGCCTTGGTTGGAAGTAGAGGGAAGTTTGGCAGTTGAAAATTTGGTGCTTGAGTTTTAGCCCCGTAAAGGCACCTGTTAGTGCAGTGACCAAAACACAGACTTTGAGGTCTGGAATTCAGTCAGGTTCTGACTGTCTATAGTCTGTGACTGTGTACCTGAAAACCACAAACATTTCTCTTTGTTTTTGTTCCCTACGCGTCTTTCTCCCAGATGCTCACGTATCAGACTGTTAGAATTTGGGATCTCCATCAGTTTTTCTTACTTTCATATTCTGTGTACTCCAAACAAATATGTGAATGTTGTTAAGTATAATTTGACACTAAATTCTGGACTTGTCTTTTCCGCCCTTTGCTACCGTCTTTTCTAGATAACTATTATATTTAGCTTTGAACTGTCCAATTTGTCTACTTGTTCTTTCTAGGTTATTATCCTCTGCACGGCAGCACCGGAAAATGTAGATCAGCTAATTAGGACTCTCCTCACACCTCAGCAGCGGTGGAGTGGGGTTGATGGAGGGCTCAGTTCAGTATAGTGCTTGCTGCAGAAACCCGGGGACCTGAGTTTGGATCCCTAGCACACGCCTGAACAGCCAGGCCTGTCATCTAGTATGAGGGAGTAGAGTAGGAGGAGGGCACAGGCTTGTGAGCCACTTCAGTCTAAAGGGTGAGGAGATTCTGTGGAGAACAGATTGGAGAAGACATTCTGATTCCAGCCTCTGGCCTTGCACCTGCAGGCATACATCACACAAGGAAAGAAAGCTGTGGAATTACATTGTGCGCTG